GTCGACACCTGCATTTCTATAAATTACAATATCCGTTTAAGCATTTCTATTGTTGGTTTAAAATTATAACTTTTGTACTATTTGTATATGAGTTATTCCATGACCAAGCTGAAGTTCCATTATTAACATACACAGATGTGTCAATAACATCATACCACATTCTGTTATCCAATAAACATCACTATGAATTACCAAACAGAAAATTTAATATACACTGAAGACATTAATTACTCAAATAATTAAGAGTGTCAAGTTACCTGTCTACACTATCTGCCTTACTCATCAAGTATTCCTGAAGGTCCTTCAGGAATTTAACTTTGGTTTTCCCTACACAACCTGAAACATTAAGGTATGCATTATTGTATATTCATCTTTTTTATTTTCATATTAAATCTTAGAAATTTAAAGCATGTACTAATATACATAAAGGTAGTTTGATAAAAGCCTTTAATACCAATTTTTAAGGGGAAGTTAACTGAGACTAAAGGCATCTTTTCCAGCGGTTACGGGAAACGCGACACCTCTTGCACGACAGGAATCGAGCAGACGGTTAATTTTAAATGAGTTGCCAGATGCATTCCTCGTACTTTGGATATTTCATGCATATTCGTACTTATATTGGATATCTATAACACCGCACTACTCACCACAAGATATCAAAAGCTATCTTGGATATCATATTCCAAAATACTGTTTACCTGTTGGAAAAATAACCAGTACAGTAAAATAGCAATTCGTCAATCGCGATCATTCCCATTACGTCACAGAAATGGGCGGAGCTTAGAGGCCTGTCTCGCCTCCGTGTCTCGTGATAGGTGTCGCGGAGCGTTTCGCGACACCCTAATTGCCACCGGAAAAGATGCCTTAAATACTTTGATAACAAAAAAATAGCATTTTTAGAAATATATTCCTCCTTTTGCTCTAAAATAATAGTATCTCTAATAGTTTCCTTAGCAATTAGACTGGTATTGATTTGATTTCTAAAAACAAGTTCTAAGTTAATAGCAAGAAACGGTACACTTATCAACATAATTTTATTGTAATCTGCAACAAGAATTTGAATACCTCCTCATTAATAGCAGTAAAACTTCTACGTTTGACTTTTTTTCATGAGTAATACAAAATCACATCGCCGTCAGCTACGCAAAGAATGTCTAGTTATTTCTAGTATGTAAATGAGGATACCATCATATGCAGTATACATAAACCTAAGGAGGACCTAACAAGTAAATATATATATGATCCTTTAACATTATTGAGGAACATGGCAACTTTAATGCATCGAAAAGTGTCTTTTAGATCTGGTAAAGGTATTTCTTCTGCCTTTCATTAAAAAATATCCTAGGAAAAAAAAAGTACGATAAGTATTAACAAATTACTGCCGGCCGAATAAATTTGCGGCCACCCAGGATTTTCTCTGGTACTGCTATAGTGCACTAAAATATAACAAAATAATCCCTGATTATGAAAAAAAAATCTAAGCAAACTGCGTAACACATATCCTTATATCTTAGATTAAAGCAATCTAAAATATCTTATTTCATGTCTATTTTTCATTCGAATGCTAATGCCCTCGCCCATACATTTTGGCTTATACTCGTTAAGGGACACGTCTTCGAAAACTGGTGATGATAATAAAATATAAATTAAATTAATATAAAACTGTGTAAATATATTATATAATTGTCTTTTGCCTGTACTTCCTTTTCCTTGTACATAATATATGCAAGTTGAATACCATTTAACCTTAATGTTTGTCCAAAAACTAAAACAAATGTTCCTTGTTTTATCATTTGTTCTTCCTTGTTCAGTCATGGAATGGTTGTGTAACATGAGTTATTCTTATAATGTAATTCTTGTAAAACATCGTTTGAGAAGTGCGCTACTTTCTCGTCCCTCAGTTAGCTGCAGAACGGTTTAGCCTATATTGTTATATATGCTCTAAACATGATATGGAAAAGGATGGGAACAATCCCAGGGTTGTCTCTGTGCGAGACAACCCAGGGTGGAGGAGGCCTGCGGGACGTCCTCGGAAGTCGTGACTTGGGCGGCTCGATCAAACCTGTCGTGAGGAGCTCGAGATGGTTCAAGTCCTTGCCTGGCGGCTTGCTATGAGGGACCCTCAGAGGTTCCTCATGGATGCGGCTATGGCGTTAGCCCCCCGATGATGATGAGGATGAGGATTATGATTTTTCCTTGAGCGAGCACACGCCATCAGCAGTATGGCATGAGAGCATTCGATTTCGAAATTAGGAGTGTCTGTTTCTTTGCGTCCTTATTTGTGCATTTCTAAATATTAGAACATAAGTGGCAAAGGATTTTTAGACTTTCCAACACTATTTACCAACAGGCTTATATACACTTGAATGCACTAGTGTTACCATATAAAATCCTAGCTTGATAACCTTAGAGTGGACGCGGATTTATTCGGCCAACTGTGCGAGTCCTGTCATCCGTTCCTGGTGCGGGAACAGAGATCAGCTTTTCGATCAAATGTATA